GGGAGCCCAGGTGGAGTGACTCCGCTGGGGGTGTCCATCAGGCAGGAGGGAGCCCAGGTGGAGTGCTGCCCCAGTGGTCAAGTCTTTGCGACTGTGGCTCTGGAGAAGAGGTCCAGAGACCAGCTAGTAGCACGATACAGACTCTGGTTCTGTGTCATCTCCAGGGGTTACAGTATGGGTGAAAGGGGCCCTCCCAGAGGTTCAGTGTTTGTTCCCCGAGCCTCCAACTGGGCAGGCTGTCCCCAGTTCCCAGTTTCCATTGTGGGGCCTTAGGCACCCTGGCCTTCCCGCTCCATGGCTTCCTGTTGGGTGGCAGTTTGGGTCCTCCCTGGTCTGCTCTTAGAACGTGAGGGTGGTGGCTTATTGTTCTTTGATCTGGGCCTTGGGGATGCATCTACTGCTCACTTTCTTTGAAAGATGTAAGCATTTTAGGAGCTGTGCCAGCAAGCAGTGCCCTTTGTCTGCAGCCCTCCCCCCATTGCTGCCTTTTCTGCTCAGCTGAAGGGGACCTTAGAACAAAGCTGTTGTCTCTTGCTTGTTTTCATCTGGTCCTTTGTGGGCACATCTCTGTGATGAATTCAGCTAGTGAGGGAGACCTGGGAAAGCAGCAGGTCCTGGTCTCATGTTTGTCTCTGTATTCTAAGGAGCCACCTTCCTCGTAACTTTTGGGAACTTAGAGAAATCTGAAACTATGGTTTGCCGTCTTTCCAACAACCAGAGGTAAGAACCAGAATCCTACTTGGCATTAGACAACATTGTCACAGGCTGTGGACTTGTCACACTAAGCTTGAAGGTAACCCGACTTGGACATTTCTGTCTGACAGATACTTGTTTCTGGATGGTGACAGCCACCATGAGGTCGAGATTGCACACATCTCAGCTGTGCAGATCCTCACGGAGGGCCTCTCTCCTGCAGGTAAATGCTGGGTGTCTTTTCCCAGACAGGAGGGTTTGGTGCTATATGTGGGTGATGTGGAGCATAGCTCCAAGATGGCCTGCTTTTCCTCATATGCGGGGCTTGTGTTTAGTCTGGGGCTTTGGAGCTGGTGGGTGACGGGGCTCACACTGGGATGAGGAAGGCAGGCTTGCCTGAGTGTGTCGTGAAGCCTTCCCTTTGTCTAAGTGCTCTGAGGTATCATCTCATTTACGGCTGGACTCAAACAAAGGACAAAGCTCTATATGCTAGAACCTTGAGTCCCAGGAAGCTCTGGAGTGGTGGCTATTCAGGAACCAGCACTTCAGCCCCACTGTCACTCTCTGTGCCTGCCAGGCCCTTGTGCAGACTGAATTCTGTGTGCCCGCCCCTGTGAACTTCTGGAGCGCTGACTCCAAGCTGGAGCTTACTCACTAACCCTGCATGCCTCAGGAGCCACCTCTCCACCAGAGTCTCGCTCCTCCCCTATAAACTGCAGTGTGCTATGACCTGATGGTCTTACCTTCCGCTCTCTCACTGGCTCTTGATTGTCCTTTCTCTCTGCTGCCTGTCACCTTCTTGATGTAGAAAAAGACATTCACACTTACACCAGCCTGCGGGGGAGCCAGCCTGCCTTTGAAGGTCAGCCTCACCCTCTTCCCTGGCCTCCCCCACGTGGTGGGCTCTGCCCTTCCTCTTGCCACTTTACTTCTGCCCGTGGGGTATTGATGCCAAGATCCTTTGTGAAACTCACGTTCTGCTTTAGTTGATTTGAGATGTTGGGTCTACGATACGGGTCTGTCGAGCCCAAATGAAAATATCCTCGCAAAGAAAGGATATTTACTCATTTCCTTTATAGGGTGTGGGGGCAGGGAGTGTGGCTCTCTAGTTGTCAGCCTCTCGTCAGCACCTGCCACCCTGGAAAAACTCTCCCAGTGCTGCCCTGGGTCCTCTTGGGACCCTTGGACTCTCTCAGTGCTTCTGAAGGATGAGGCAGGAGGGCAACACCAGTGTCCCTGGAGCACAGGCGTGTGGTGTGGGGCAGGTATGGAGCCACCATAGTAGCCTTTGGCAAGCTGCGAGGGGAAGAGGCCTCAGAGGAAGAGGACAGGGACTGGAGAAGCTGCTCAGCTGACCCCTCTGCCTGGTCCTCCCAGGGAGCCCAAGGCCTGCGGCTCAGGAACACAACTCACCACTCACCACAGTATGCCCGAGGCCCATCATGCAGTGGTGGCCACTGGTGGAGCCTCGTGCACACACATGGCCTCCCCTTGGCTGGGCTCCCTGGCAGGCCCAAGATGCTGGTACCATGTGCCCCCTGGTGTCAGTTTTGGGAGTGCAGTGTGCCCCATTCTGCCCCGTGTTTTCTAGACTTGCTGGCACCCCACCCCTCTAGAGTAGCACACACTTGTTCTTTGAGGGCCAGATAGTAAATCATTGTGGGTCATATACTGTCACAAAGCTCAGAGGCAGCCACAGACCACAGGGCAACAGATAGCCACAGCAATGATCCAGTAAAACTTGATTCACAAAGCAGGTGGTGGGCAAAGCCGAGGTCGGCCTGCTCCAGACACGGGTGGGAGCTCCCAGAGACATCAGACTAACAGGCTGAGTTTCCAGGGGAGTCTGGGCTTTCAAGATAGAACCTGCTCACGAAAGCATGCCTGAGGTGGGCTCGCAGGGCACAGCACTTGATAGGTAATGGTAGTGAGAGTGAGTGATGTGCCTGCTGCGGGCTTGGTGCCCACTCCACCAACAAGTGGGAGGGTTGGCCTTCGGTTTTGATCCAGAGATATGTCTGACTAAAGAAATCTCTGAGGGGCATATGATTTCTCAAAAGGGATTTTTCCTCCCAAAGGCACAAAGTAGAAAAGCTGTAGCCAGGGCAGGTTCCTGCAGTCCCAGCTACTCGGGAGGCCAAGGCAGTAGGATAGCTTAAGCCTAGGAGTATGAGGCTGCAGTGAGCTATGATGATGCCACTGTACTCTAGCCTGGGTGACACAGGAAGACCCCTTTTTCTCTAAAAAAGGAACTTTACAAAGCTGTAGGTCAAGTTCACCACAGTGCTTGACCCCATAGGTCTTTTTCCCTATAGCCTTGACTCTGAAGAGCTATTCTATTCCTAGAGTGTTTCTTCTTGGAGCAGGTGCTGAAATTTAGTTGTCACCAGAGGAGCTGGTCATGGCCCAAACCCAGGGTGTTTTGAGCTACCATGTCAGGTCTGGGAGAACAGCATTTTCCTGGTGTGAGGCCCTTGTCTGTACTGACAATCTCCATGTTGGCCCAGGTGCTCAGTAGTGGGACAAGTGAGGCCTCTGACCTCTAAGTGAGAGGCCAGCTGTGACTCGAGCGATGGCCAGGGTACTCTTGAAGTGGCCTGTGTACTCCTGCCAGCCCTGGATGCAGATGAGTGTGACCAGCGCTTAGCCAGCCTTGTTTGGGGGGTTTCTCTGAAGACAGGAAGCCCCACGTGGCCAGGGGAACTCAGTCATTTCTGGATTAACTGAGAACAAGGTCTCTCACATACCTCTCAGTGATGTGGTTCAACTTGTTTGTCCCAGGCTTCAGAGGCCCCCAGGCCAGGTGTTTGGTTCCATTGTAAACCTGGGGTCTCCTGTCAGAGAGGCATGAGGAGACTGAGTTCATCAGGTGCTCCTTAGCATGGCCCCACAGTTCAGCCAGGTGCTCCACTGCCAGGCTGCTCCCTAGAGCAGCACACAGCTAGGGAGGTGTCCTGGCCCCCATGTATCTTGGAAACTTGGGGTCCCCTTTGGGCCTTCTGACTTTGTCTCTTTCCTCTAGGAGGCAACGCACGGGCCACAGGCATGCTGCTGCAGTACATGGTGCCAGGGACAGAGGGTGTGACCCACCTGAAGCTGAGAGCTGGGGAGGATGCAAGTGCCAGCAGGAGACAGGCAGCTGCGTGGCTGGTGGCCATGCACAAGGTACAATGGGTAGGGCACTTCGGCTTCCAGCAAAGCCCACATTTCCCAGAGGAAAATCTACCTCCTGCTGCACCCTCCCCACCCCGCCCAGCTGGGCTGCCAATGCCAGCTCCCCTGAAGTGTATTCAGGATTAGCTCTGACCAGGCATAGGACCAGTCACATTTTGCTATGTTTATTTTTGGTCACCCTGCAGGCTGCCAAGCTCCTCTACGAATCTCGGGACCAGTGATTCCACATGTGAGCTGAGCCTGGGCACATCTGGGCACCAGGACCGACTGGAACAGCAGAGCCTGCTCCCTGCCCACCATAGGGATTAGCCTTGCTCATACTAGGAAATGCAGTTTATGTCGTATCTGGAGAAACAGAAGTGTTCACTTACCTAGTGCAATATGTACACAGTTTATTAACGCTTTAAACACTTTCACTGCTGGGACTGTCAGTTCATGGCTTCTTGCGCATGGGCTGTGTGTCCAGAGGCCTATGTTCAGGCCCCAGGTGAGATCCTACTTTCATCTCCATAGCCACGAATGCCTCTGCATTGGTCCACTCAGACTCTGCCTCTGGCTGGGCAGATGCTGCTGTGAAAGATCATTTTCAACTACTGCTTGATGGTTCTTAAAGTCTCAGTATCAGTAAACTGAGCAGATTGTCCACCACCCCTTGTGTTATAAACATCACCAGACACTAGTGATGGAGAAACAGATTTTTGAGTAACTTTTTCCTCATCCTGCTCCCATGAGGGTCTCTGGCTTTTCAGTTTCTGGAATCAGTAGCAATAGCCTTCAGCTGTTCATTCTGCAGCTCCAGTTGTTTGGTTACCACCCTCTGCTCACCTTCTTTCTCCCACTTCATCGTTGTAGCTGTTGTCACACCTTACAATCTGGCTTCTAATCTGCACTTGTCAGAAAATTGTCACTGAAGTTTCTGATGCTGGGTTTCAAGTTCCTGTTGCAGATTGCATTTTTCTTCATAGATAGTGGTGTTTTTCTCTAAAATCTTGATCTTATATTCTGAAGGCTTTTCTTTTCCAGTTCTTCTATTTCCAATTTCTGTTCTTTTTTAGTTTTTCTTGAATAGTTTTCTTAAAACAGCACTGTCAAATCCTTGTAATAAAGGCTAAAGAAAGTATTAGCTGAATTCATTAGTCATTTGTTGGAGATGAAGACGTTTTTCTAAGGCTTCAGTTGGCTTTGTGTCTGCTCATCGATGACATCCAAAATTTCACATGATGGCAAAAGTGGAAAACTGTAAAACCATCTCGGTAACCAGTGGTTCATTTCCAACTGGATCTCGAGCCTGGGTTCTACACCCCCTTCCAGTGTTAAACCTCAAATTGCCTTGTCCACTGCTCTTGCTGCTTCAGCTTCTTGGGGGCACCTCTCAAATGCCATGACTTTCAAGCTTTCTTCATCATCTTTAGCCTTTGGATTTATACAGAGGGGTTGGCTTGGAATCTCAGTGGGGAACCATCTTGTTACTCTTTGTTTTCTCTCAGGACATGCAGACATACATGTTCTTAGTGTTATTAGTTACTGTCACCAGCTTCACAATATCCGTTCCCTTCTGCTCTGGTCCTGTGAGTTCTTTACTTTCAGCAATATCTACCAAGGACAATTGGCTTATAGTGATATGTTCTTTTTCCTGTAAGACATTTTCTCCATCTGTCTAGGGAATCTGAACTAATTCACAGTTGAACATGCTCTGGGAATGGCTGGACTCATGATTCAAACAGGTGTTAGCAATACATCTCTTTCTGGCCTTTCTGGAAAACTTCAACAGTCTCCTCAGTAGACTTCAGTTCTACTTCTGTACATCCTGCAACATATGTTACGGTTCTGTTCTTCATATAGCAATGTAGACTGGAGGTTGGGGTTTTATGGGGATCAAAAGGCACTTCTTCCAGTGGATCATACATGTAGTTACATATTTGGAAGTGTCTACTTTCTCTTAATTTCACTGTAAGAGACAAATACGCCATAGACACTATCTTCATTAACCTCTTCTGCTATGTAGAATTCTTGTGCTATTGTCATATTTGCAAACTCTGGATCTACTTTGCTAGAGGAGTCTTTGGAATGGACAGAGCTTCCCTTTCCTGACGTTCTAGTGAGGCACCAGCTTTGTGCTGGACATCCAGTGTTCCTACCATTAGATTTAAAATAATATCACTTAGCTTGAAATGACTCTGTACTGTTAAAGATCATGTCCAAGCAGCCTTCTTTCCCCTGGAGAACCGATCATTGTGTTTTTCCCTTCCTGTTGCATGATATATAAAAAGAAACCATTTGGCGGGCGGTGCCTGTGGCTCAGTGGGTAGGGCACCGGTCTCATATACTGAGGGTGGCAGGTTCGAACCTGGCCACAGCCAGCTAAAATAGTTAACAACTGCAACCAAAAAATAGCTGGGCATTGTTGCGGATGTCTGTAGTCCCAGCTAATTGGGAGGCTGAGGCAAGAGAATCGCTTAAGCCCAAGACTTGGAGGTTGGTCTGTCTGGGGGTGGGGAGGACAAAACTATTTTTGTCACCTATGAGGTCACCTGCCAAGGATTAGCCACAACATCAGAGAACTCCTTCTGGGTAGTGTGAGTGCCAAATACTTGCTTAAAAGAACAGTCTCATTATCATCTCCATTGGGGTTGAGTCTGCACTGAGGAGCATGAAGCTAGGCCCTTCTGTGAAAGCATGCCCTACAGTATACCCCAACTGGGTCTTTAAGGTTCATTTGGGATCCCTTTTTTCATTAGAGGTTTCCCACTGGTTTAGTCCTCACTGGCTTCATGGTCGCAGGCTCTGCACTGCCCAAATGTGCACACAGGACGCTGAGCTCTATCGTGTAGGCTAGCACAGCCAGCCAGCCACAGCAACTGGCTGAGGGAACCAGGTGTGGGAAACCAGGCTGTGCTGCTAGGAGCCAGCTTTACATTTTAGAATTTGTATATTTTGCTGATACTTAATCAGGGGTGGGAGAGACTGCACTACTACTAAACTATTTTTAGCATAGTCTATGTTTTTGAGTTCCCAGGTTTTCCATAAGGTTCTGGTGCATCAACGTTCATTTCATTGACGCTACAAAAAAACAACATGGGTAGTGGTAACAGGCCCCGGCAGGAGTGGAGCCTGCTGTCTACAGCAGCCGGTTCACAGCACTTGCCTTAGCTTGTTTCATAGACTGTTTACCTTGTCACTAACTTTGGTCTAGGAGCAATCCTTTGCTATTTCACTATGGGGAAGGCACTGGCTTTGTGTTTTGTACTTTTCACTCTTTTACTTTATTAAATGATTGTATAGCAGTTTGTACATAAAGCTTATGATTAAAACCTATTTTGAACATACAGATGTGGCCCTGCCCTGCTGTGTTCAGCCTGCCTATGCTCTTGCCCAGTCGGACTCTAGAACACAAGACTCGGAGCCTCTGGGTGAGACAGCAGTTTATTGTGCACATATACACGACATCAGCAGTATTGGGGATGGCAGTGGCCATGTTCCTGTACCAAGGTTGCTCCACAATGGTGTCACTTCTCACCACACTATGCACAATGTCAGGTGACTGACTACAGCATTGTAACACTGTTATCAATGAGTCTGTACATACATTTGTACATAAATTATACACGAGACTCATACGTGAAAAATAAAGTCTAAGGGCCTATATTTTAATGAGAAAGATGTTTCCAACGTAGTTCTGGTAGTTTTGAATGGTCTAGTCAAAAAATACTTTGAGTATATAAAAAGGCTGTATGTATAATTCATACTTCAGGGATGTGCCTGCCTCGCCCTGAGGCTGGAATGAGGGCATAGATGATTGTGGCACAGCTGGGGGGCCCCTGCCTCCAGCTCTCCTGTCCTTGCTGTTGTCTCTAGCGGGCCCTGACACTATGAGTCCTTTAGGCATCCACCAGCCTTGTCCAACTGGACCCCGCTCTGTGGCTTACACGGGCCCACACCTACCACCACTCTTAGCCCCTTGGTGCCCTGGACTCCAGCATGTGGCTGTACTCAGAAATGAACTCCAGCAGCGGTGAGGGGAGTAGACCCACACCATGCAGGGGAGTAGCAGTGAGCTTAGAGAAGGAGTGAGTGCTGAGGTGCTCTGGACTGGGTCATTTGGTCTTTAGGGTTCAGGGGCCCCTGGCATAGAAGCCCAGCTGCAGCACCAAGCGGGCAACATTTGCCTTTGGGTGAGCTAGACCAATACCAGAACAAGAAGCAGAACACCCAAAGTGGCCTTGGAGGGTGGTCAGTCACTAAGAAACATAGACATTGGGCAATACTGGACAGAAGTTTCCATATAGGGCCTCCTTTGGTGATGAAAGGAAGAGAGAGACTCATGTTGGAGGATGGGGCATGAAGAGGGAGGGTGGCAGCCAGCCTAGGAATGGGGCAAGGCTATAGCTGGGGGCAGGCCCAACATCTGTAGGTATTCACTGCTGGGGTGACAGCCTTGGGGCCAAGTCAGTAAGAGCTTTTGTTTTCACTGGCAACCAACAAGGGGGTAATTATAGGGTTTCTTATTGGCAACAGGGGTGGGTGTTTTGAAAGCTGGGTATTTATTTGGGTTTCCAGTAATTGGCAAAATTCAGTCCTCTTGGAGGTAACCTCTCCCAGTTACAGGCAAACTGGAATAAGGGCCTCACCTAGAACTGCAGGGATTCACATTGTGGACGCCATCTGCTAAAGTGAGCACCATTAAAACCGTTTCTAGCTTCGGCTTTCCTGGGGACACGGAATAATCTCTTCAGTGGCTCCTAGTGGCTGGCAACACATTGCAGTGCTCGAAGGGAAGCTCAGGCGAGTGTTCGCTGTCGGGGTTTGATCCGTGGATACAACTAGGAAGCAACAAGACAGGCAAGATGAAGAGATGGCACTGAGCCAGAGTTGGCTCTCAGGTGCCAGTCAGCCTGGGCTTCTTGCCTCCTCAGCTCAGCACTGCCCCTCCCCCAGCTGTGAGGCTCATGCTTCCTTCAGGCCTAAACTCAGCTGTGACCGCTTCATTTGGGACTTCCCCAACTCCCCCTTTAAAGGGTGCCCTCACCCCAGAATCTCACAGCACTTCTACCACCTAAAAACTTAGCTCTGTCTGTAGGCCCCTAAGGACATAAGGTCCTCGCTAGCAGATGTCTCTGTAGGGCTCACTGCTATGTATACCTCACACCTGGCAGATGCAAGCGGTCGAGGGACAAGGCTGAATGACTAAGGAGCGTCATCTGCCAGCCCTACTGAGGCATGTAGGAGAAGCAAGCACACATGGCTCCTCTACCAAGGGCTGATGTGATTATAGACAGAATACAGCTAGCAACCCGCAAGCTCCTGCCTTCCCACCTACTGAATAAATGTCTAGGCTATATTGAGGATATTCTACGGGTTAAGACTAGTTACTGGCTGAAGTTTACCAAGAACAGAGCACACCAAGCAGCCCCTTTGTAAGAGCCAGTGCCCCAACAGCTAGCCCCCCAGTGGGCCTGGTCCCGGACACCTCCAGAGGTTCTCATGAGCCTCCTGCCAACTCTGCAAAGCAGGTACTTGCCTGTGTTCAGAGGGGGCCATTGAGGCTTGGAGAAAGGTAGGCTCCTGCCCTGGTCCCCAAGAAGGTTAGGACCCTGTGCTATACATGAGGACAGCTCAACGGGCTTACCCCCAGCAGGTTTTTGGGCACGTAGCCCTCCCGGTCACCAAGGCGAGCCCACCACCAGTCGGTCTCACTTTCATCCTTGCGCCTCAGGATGGTGAGGGCATCCCCTTCATGGAAGGACAGCTCGTCACTATTCTGGGGCTCATAGTCCCACAAAGCATACACCACGCCTTTGTTCATCACACCCAGCTTCTCTTGCACTCCTGGGACCAGAAAACAGTAGTCAGGCTTCAGTGGAGAATGTCTGCAGAGAGGAGCAGCTCAAGGAGCAGGATGGATGTGCTGTTCTCAGTAGGCCTGGTGGAGGCCAGCAGCTGAGGTGACTGAGGCCACAGACCTTTAGAGACCAGGCCTCACCTCCCGATACCTCCCCAAACCCACGAGGTCCTTGTCTTAATGTGCTCACTCCTTCTATCCCACAAGACAGCACTACTGAGCTCCTGAGACCAGAGGCAAAGTAGATTGCTCTTTTTTTTTTTTTTTTTTTGGGACAGAGTCTTACTCTGTCAGCCAGGGTAGAGTGCTGTGGCAACCTCAACTCCTGGGAGTCAAGTGATCCTCTTGCCTCAGCCTACCTAATACCTAACAGCTGGGACTATAAGTGCTTGCCACAATGCTTGGCTAGTTATTTATTTATTTTTTTTAAGAGATGGGGTCTTGCTCTTGCTCAGGCTGGTCTCAAACTCCTGAGCTCAAGGAATCCACCAACCTCAGCTTCCCAGAATGCTAGGATTATAGGAGTGAGCACCATGCCCAGCCAGGTGTGTTGTTCTAAAAGTCATTGCTTACTGTGAATCCTACAACTTAGACTAGGAACAAACTTGCAACAATCAGTAACTGAAGGAGTGCCACCTGTTTCTGGAAGGCAGGGAGCTAACCACACAGCTGAGCTGTGACTGCTGAGCCCACAGCTACTCGGTGAGTCCTAGAGGCTCTTCTACAGGACATGCTGCCTCTGGAGGCCACTCTGCTGAGTGTGGGGAGTATCCCTTCTTTGCAAGTGTCAAGGTGACTTCAGTCTGCTCCCTCCAGTGGCTGGACACCCTGGGGCTTGTGTGCCTCCCCACCCATCCCCACCCTGCTCCACAGCCCCTAGAGCTCTGCTGTGGGAAGTTGGGTGAAGAGGGCAGCAGCTGGTTGTTTTCTCACTTTATCCCCAGGATCTAATATAAGGTGGGGAACATAGCAGGTCCTCATATTACCTGTGGGATGAAATGCCTTGTGACTGTTTAACCCTCAGAACAGAGATGTTCCAGCTCTGGAAAAACTTGACTCTGGATAAGCAGCTTAATTAGGACACAAGCTTCACTCAGCAGACGGTTATGAGGACCAGTGGCCAAGCCTCCAGGCTACCACGGGGGTGAAGCTGGCCCTGCTTCCCAGCATCAAGTGCACAGGCAGAATGCTGCCTGGCCACCACACTCCCCAGCTTCTCTGGTGCAAGGGGCAATATCTATGCAAAGCACAGCAAGTCATCTTTGTTTCCTTAGCACAGAATCATAATAATATGGGTTTTCAAACATGTTTTCAGGAATGAGAAAACAGGTTTCATGCTAGTGCAACCTCCATTCAAATGAGACTTTTGGGCCATCTCTTAAAAAGGCAGGAGTTGCTTAAGAATGCTCTGCTGAAGTCAAACTCGAGGACTCCCCTGAGGCCACTGCCGTGTCTGCACTGTGGTGCCTAGCATCACTGTAGCCCCGAGGAAAGAACCACTGGCATGCTGCAGGGCTCCCCTACATACCATACAGAAACTGGGAGCACTGAATATAGCCTTCCTCCATCTCTTCACACTTGTCTGCAGCAGTTTCAATGTCACTGATGGTTGAGGCAAATATGGCAGCGCCACTCTCCACCAGCTGTTTGCAGAGGTGAACACTGTTACAGGAAGCAGCACAATGCAGTGGTGTCCTGGAATCAGAATGGGTGTGATGGTGTGGGTCTGGCACTGTCCCAAGGCTGCCTGGTTCCTGTGTGAAGCAACCCTCTAAAGAATTTTCACAGAAGTTGCTATGCTTTTGTGTCAAGCAAGCTTCTGTGGGTTTTTTTTTTTGTTTGTTTTTTGTTTTTTTTGGCAGAAGATACCAGTTTTGCTCTGTCTGCTAGTCTGGAGTGCAGTGGTGTCACCACAGCTCACTGCCACTTCAAACTCCTGAGCTCAAGTGATCCCCTCCTTCAGCTGCCCTAGCAGCTGGAACTACAGGTACCTGTCACCATGCCTGGCTAATTTTTCTAGTTTTAGTAGAGATGTGTCTCACTCTTGCTCAGGCAGATCTCGAATTCCTAAGCTCAAGTAATCTTCCCGCCTCAGCCTCCCAAACTGCTGGGATTATAGGAATACAACCACTGTGCCTGGCTATTTCTGTGTTTTTTTTTTTTTTTTTCGAGACAGTTTCACTTTGTTGCCCTTAGTAAAGTGGCATGGCAGTCACAGCTCATAGCCACCTTAAACAATTCTCTTGCCTTAGCCTCCCAAGTAGCTGTGTCTGCAGGCACCTGCCACATGCCTGGCTATTTTTTAGAGACAGGGTCTCGCTCTTGCTCAGGCTGGTCTCAAACCTGTAAGCTCAGGCAATACACCCACCTCAGCCTTCCAAGTGTTGGGATTACAGACGTGAGCCACTGCGCCCAGCCTTCTGTGTTGTTTTAACAGCATAATTTCTACTAACAAATTGTTTTGGACCACATAAACAATTGGAAAAAGGGGGATAGGGAAGAAGTTAAGAAATGGCATATAAGTAGATTTTATCATATAGCAATGTACATATGCATGATATGCTGAATCCTGTAATCATGACTAAGAGAGTAAATTTTATGTGATTTGCATTTTACTGCAACTCAGATACAGCAGAATGACAGCTGTCTGGAAGTTCAGAATAACCCCTACAGAGGACAAGTGAGCCCTATTCCTAAAGGCAAGTGGAAAAGAAAAAACACAACATCGGTGTCTGACAAAAGGGGAATTGCTGAGGTTACTTTCACTTGGAACACAGAATTCATACATTCACATGGAATGTATGAAAAGAGAAAGACCAACAACTAGCAGAATGCTCAGGCTACCATATTAATGGCCAGGCACAGAAAGAGCAGAGTCTGGAAAGACATGCCAGGCAGCTGACAGCAGCTGTGTGTCAGGGACAAAATGATGGTGTTCTTGCTCTTTCTCCCAGGCTTCCCAGCCACATAGGACCTGCAAGTCTTCGATCTCAAAAGTAGAGAAAAGTGACCTCTCGACCCACACCTGCATGGGGGCCTCACCATCCATCACTGTCAGCAGCATTTACGTTGACCCCGAAGTCTAGCAGAAACTTCACGATGTGATGGTGACCAGCACAGACGGCATTGTGCAAGGGCGTGATCCCTTCATCGTTGGGCTTGCTGGGATCCTCCACCTAGGACACATGGTACATGAGAGCCCACCCCAGTTCCCTTGCAGCACACGCAGTGGGAAATGGCTCCAGCTCACCTCATAGATGACCCTTTGCACCAGGTCAAACTCTCCCTCCAGAGAAGCATCTAGGAGCAGTGCCAGGGGGTTAAACCGGACCCTCAGGCCATGCCCTGTTCGCTCAGAGTTGGGCTTCTTCAGGTTGGTTCGTTTGCTCTATTAGGAATGAAGATGAAGCAAGCTTTCAATTGAAAGGTGATCTCCCAAAATGAGGTGAGCCCAAGAAGCAAAACCTGGGTAGGCAGAAGTAGCAGGAGCAAAAGCCCTAAGGTGGCCCAACAATAGCAGGCCCTGGAGCAGGAGCAGCACCCAGGCAGCCACCCTAAACGAGGGTCTGGCCACTGTGCTGCTCTGGCTCATACAGAAGAGTAAGGCTGTGTTTGGGATGCCAGCCACTCTCGTAAGAAGGAGTGTGGTATGCCAAGCAGCTGAACATGACACCAGCCCCAGGAGACAGCCACTCCTTCCCACCAACATTCAGTAAGGCTCTTCCTGCCAAGGCACCAGACGCCAGCAGGGAAGACCCCATTGAAGACTTGTACTCTGTTCCATCTACACTAATCTCCCAACAGGGACCTCGTCTAGATGGCTCTTCCTTCCTGTCTATCTCCCCTTCCTTAGGAAAGCCCCCGACTAGTTGCCTGGGAAAGGCTGCTTTGTGCTGTAGCTATCTGTGTGACCCCATGACTGTCCTCCCTACTGGGCCCAACTCAGGACGGCAGGAACCTTCTGGCTCCTACTGCTTCCAGCACAGCCCAACTCAAGGGAAGTGCCCCAAAAGTCCTGGCTACATGAATGACTAGGAAGGCCTGGCTTTGGCCTAGCAAGGTTACTCACCGTGGAGGCTGCAGGAGGGTGTACAACAAGGGGAAGAGATGGTGGAGGAACTTGCTCTTCCCCTGGCGATGGTGCCTCAGCCACAGGACTTGGGACCTGTTCTGTGGAAGGGACTGTGGCCACGTTGTTGTTATTGTCCTCTGCAGGCTCAGCAGTTTGGTGAGTGGTTTGGGGACAGATGAGCTCCTCTGGCTCAGGGGAAGGTAACTCATTGTCATTGGCATCTGATGAAGGGGCAGGCTCATCAGAGAGTGGGGCAGTGGGCTGTGGAGGGGTGGGCTCTTCCAGGTTTCCATTGGCATTGGTATTTCCATTGTCCACATCAGCCAAGGTGCCTATGAAGTCCTGTGAGGGGCTGGGCTGGTAGAAAGGGGTGCCCTCCATGCCACCAGCCAGGGTATTGAAGCGCTGGTACAGCAGCTTCTGGATGTTTGGCCCACCAGGGCCCTCGGGCTCTGTGATGGAGCTGCGCTTCTTTAGGGGCCGGGGTGCATTGGCCAGCTTCCTGCGGAGGGCCTCCAGGTCAGCGTCGCTCTGGTAGCGCAGTGGAGAGTGCACGATGGGCGTGAGCTTGGTGGGGCTGAGTGGCCGTGGCAGGCTCTCCACAGTGCTGCCATCTGTAGGTGGGGCATGGCCATCCTGCTCTGCCTCTTTGTCAGCAGATTCTAAAGATGGCTGAGGCTGCGACGTGCTTGTGGACAGGGACCCATGAAGAAATGGTAATGGCGATGGAGATGTTGAACCCGATGGTAAAACGGGTTTACCATATACTGAAGGAGACACAAAAGACAGGAGCAATTTCCACAGTGCTGCTGGGGTCTAGTCACTAGGCAGAGATGAGCCCCCAGAGACATGCAAACCTGTAGCTGTGGTTAAACTCAAGTTCTAACTCCTAAGGAGACCTTCTGTTCCAAGAACTTCCACTGACTTCTTGTGAAAGTGTAAATGTCTCTCTAATGTATTTGTTTTTATAACTGAGTTTTCAGAATTGGGGAGTTTCCAAACCACTAAACCCTTGGACTAACTCAAAAATGCACTTCTTCTGAGCAAGAAGGCTTTACCTGGGGGGCCAGGAGTTCTTATCAACCTGCCCACAGGTTAACACTGCATCACCACTGGGGAGGTCCCTGGGCAAGGGAAACCGGGCACACCCATCCCTGAACTGTGAATCTGGAAGCTGCAATCAATGCCCAGTCTCAGAAGACCCACAGGATTCTTCTGTGAGGGTCAGAAACACCACCAGACTCTGTGGAATGTGTGGCCTAAGCCACATCCTTTCATCTGCCTCTCTAGAACACTAAAACCAAGGCTTTCTCTGGTTGAAATCTGGGGGGAGGCTCCTAAGCAGTAGTCAAGGTCACCCCTACTCACTGGACAATGCCTCACAAAAGTTACCATGAAGCAAGAGGAAAAAGAGGCGATTCCTGAAGTATTGCCCTACCCAGAGTTGGATTTCCCAAGTAGTGTGGGAAGGAGGATGCTAGGACAGGAAGCTTGAGAGCTGTGAGCCATCTGCAAAGCCACTTACTTAAACACGTATCCTCCTCCTATTCCCATCTCTCACCAACACCCAAGGCTGTACTTTAATGTAAAGAATTAAGTTTAATCTTGAATATCATGCAACCCAAATGTAAGGATATGGACTGGTAATTTCTTCATTAAAAGTATTATTTCCTAGCACCAAGAGAAGGCATATATATGCACCATACCTGCTTTAACTGACTTATTCAAGGTGCTGTGCACTGGTGGCTGGTAATTCTTAGGTGGTGTGGCCTGTTGGAGGTACACAGAGTATATGGAGCTTGAATTTACTGTCTGCGGGCCTTTCCTGGGAGACTGTGGCCTTGACCCTTTATCAGCCAGAAAAGGCCTAATGGCCACTGTCAGTGGGAGTTCAGGTTTGCTGTCCCCGGCTGGAAATGCAGGTGGCCCCACTGGCGGGTACGTGGGACTTGGCGGCACAGAAATCCTCTGTTGAATCTGTTGTGAGGAGCCTGGCTGGGGGGTGCTGGCTGCCGGGGGCAGTGGAGTGGGCTTCTGGCGACTTGGCAGGCCTGCACCAGGTCTGGGCAAGCTTCCTTCTTTCTTCCGCTCTAGAGAACTTGTTGACCCTGGACCCAGAGGCGTAGGACTTGGATATGTCCCATAGCTTGGGGGCAGCTGCTTGCCCCCACCAGGGATGGGAGGTGGCACTTTACTAATCTCAATGCCCTAAATTTAGGTGTTAAGAAGAAAAACAAAGTTACTCTTTAAAAAGGTAAGCAAATTTCCACCCACAATCCCAAGAGAATACACAGTAGGATTTGTATTCCCTCAAATCAGTTTGTGACCAGGACACAAACTGTTGGGCCCCTCACTTGTCTGCAAAAGTGATGCCCAAGTTCTGACCAGAAGGCCCTTGTACTCCTGTGCACTGCTCAGGCTCTGAAGTCCAGCAACCTATTCAAGATTTTGGGTGTGATTTGGACACTAATAGGATCAATTTGCTCAGGACAGCACATACCCCTTATTTAAGATGAAGGCAGAAGAGTGCTGTTGTTAAGTGCTTGTGTTTAGTGATGAAGACAAATGGCCTACCGGCTTCTCCGTGGCTCCTAATGCTGAGAAGGGCAAAGGTTGGCTTGAGATGGTGCCTTGCCTGAGAGCTCCCTCCACACTCGGGTCCTTCCAGTCTGCACTGGCCATCTGTGTTGGTTTCACTGAAGAGCTAGAATTCTGTTTTAATGTTGGCCAGTTTCCATCATTAGCTTGAAGGGAAAAAAGAATTTGAGTAGAATTTTTCTTAAAATAGTTAAACCAACCTTGCCAGAAACAAAAATAGCACTAGATTCCCATGCTGATGGAGCTCCATAAACCACCCATGTGTTGAGCTGTGCATTCCCTCTGACACCCATAGACCTGTGCACGAGACCAAAGGATGGTGCCCAAATTGCTTCCAAGTGCTACCCACAGATTCAAGGACCAAACAAAGGCTGAGATAGTATAGTCCAGGGCTGTACCTCATTTGAATATAGGTCAGATCCACTGCAATAACCCCACTGACGAAGCACTGCACTTTTTAAGCACTATTGACAAATTACGTACAATAAGCAAAAGAATCACCTCACCTTTTAACTTCATAATAGGTTTGACCTATACTATTTTCATTATTAAAAGTTCTACATTAACCTGTTGGATTCCTCTAAAATAATTTATGATCACAGGAGGCCAGGGCACGTTCCCATTGATTAGGGGCAGGAGGAGCAGCAGACTACCATTCTGTCACAGTGATTAGGAAGCTAGCCATAACCCAGAGTTTTCAGGAAAGCCACTGAAATAACATGTCCTTTACAGAGCACTTTCCAAACTGAAAAAGGGTGCAGAGGCATTTGCTGGTAATACGGGGTCCCTCGCAGTGACCTGAGTCTGTAGGGTCAGATTACTAGCCCATTACTCAGGCTCCTGTTTTTCCTCTTTAACAGGCACAGATGCTGAGCTGAATCAAAGGGTCAGCATCTGTGCCTGTGCCAGTACTCCCAGTCCCATCAGCAATATGGACAAACACACAGGGGACTGTCTGGGGCCTTCCTAGCAAGAACAGCATATCCCCTTCCTCTGTCCTGTTTGCCAGCACAGGCAAGAAGGGATAAGAAGCAGCAGAGAGGCTGGTCTCAGTGGCTCACACCTGTAATTTTAGCACTCTGGGAGGCTAAGGCAGGTGGGTAGCTTGAGCTCACGAGTTCAAGACCAGCCTGAGCAAAACCAAGACCCCCGTCTCTACTAAAAATAGAAAAACTGAGGCAAGAGGCTGGTTTGAGCCTGAATTGGAAGTTGCTGTGAGCTATAATGCCACAGCTTAAGATTCTGAATCAAAAACAAAAACAAAAACAAAAAAACAGGAGAGAAATCGCTGGTCCTCACAACAATGCTTAAGCCCAAACCTTTGGCCCAGAGAACACAAAGAATAAGCCTCTCTGCTGTGCTCTGAGCAGGCCTCGTAAGGCAGCGAGACCGGGATGTCGACAGCAGTCCATGTGGCCTACCCCTAAGCCACATGCCTGATGTGGCAGCACACCAACCCCAGTTGCACTCACTGCTGTGCTAAGTGACTACACTGCCAAATGTCAATCCAGGGTCCCAAGACAGTTCTAGCCAAGTCACATGGGCCCTGGTGAGGCATTCCAAGGCCCTAGCACAAACTGTAACCTTGTTTCCTGTAGTCTGTCAGCCCTTCCAGGCCAGGAGTGCATGTACTTTCATCTTTTCTCAGTTCCACGCTGGATGGGGAGGACATATAGGCCAGAAACCCACAGGTCCACCAATGGTGCATCGAGAGGAAAATTCAGGGCCAATGGGGAAAGCAGGGCCAACTGGAGCCCCAAAAGGGAGGGTAGGGCCAGCAACAAGGGAGCTGCACTTCTGTGCCCTCTCATAGGGTCACAGGGAATGTGGCAGTTCAGCTGCTTCTGAAATCCTCTAGCAATGGAACAAGGCAAGCAGTGAAGAAAGGTCTCTTATTTTTTTGTTTACAAAGGAACCATTACTTTCAAGTATAATGACAAAAGTAAAACCCTCGTAAAACTCTAAAAATCAGCTTAATATTCAAAATGCAAACAAAGCAAAACAGAAAAACCCTAAAACTCTTGCTGTGCCAGCATCTGTCCTTTGGAGTGAAACGCTCTCTGAGAATGATCAGTGTGTGGCCCTGCCCCAACTTCATAGCTACTTAAGAGACAAGTGATGTTTGTGTGGCACCTTTTTCAAGGCTAGATGTAACAAGCAGACCTTTTTCAGTTTGGAAAAAACAAATGATTGTTTTGATTGATTGATTTTATACATATCAAAGCATCCCACCAAGACTGACAGCCAACATACGGTTTACACATGGGCTTGCAGAATGCTGCGAGGAGCCGTAGTCAGGCCCAATGTCGAGGTCTGACACTGTCCAGGAGCTGGTCACTCTGGGCATATTGTGGCCATCTGTTTGACATAGAACCAGGAAAGCCAACAGCAAGGGGTTAAGAGTCCCCACTGGGGAGATTTCACATCCTACTTCCACATCTGGGCTGAGATTCTGCCCCAGTTTGGGGTTAACACAGGTTTCCTGTGTCCAGTCACTTTACAACCCAGTGGAAGGACCAAGGCTAAGGGCCATAAGGTTGTCTTCTTACAAACTCTGTGAGGCAGCACAGGGCACACTGACAGAGGAAGGGGAAGTGGGAGACATTCTCAGTGTCGCAAATTTTTCAAATGAAGTTAGCAGAGAAGTAGTTGGCTGTGCTAACTACCTGCCACTGGAAATAAACAAATACCTATTCCTATGTGGGATGGTGCAAAGAATAAAGGACAGCTTATCAAAGAAAGCTGCAGTTAGGGGTTCATGCCAACCAGCTTCCTGCTGGCTGCTGAGATGTGGCTGTAAGAGCTGGTAACACTTCCCTCTTACTGGGTTCAGAACAACAGATACGTTGCTGTTTCTATTAGGCACCAGGCAAGAGAAAATGACACAAACACACACCAACATGAATTGACCACCAAGCCTGAAAACAGATTCAAGATACAGGTCTGACGGACATGAGTAGCAGCACTGTTCTCATAAACAAAAGGATGTTTTGTATGTCAGGACATGCATTTCTGACATTGTGTGTTATCAAGAAATGTGTCAACCCAGTCATAAAGAAAGTTTTATGACAAAGAAACCCTTATTTTTTTTTAATGTATGGTTTAAAAACCAATCCAACTGGAGATCTCACCCTGTGATTGGCTGGCATACCACACGAGCCATGCTTGAGTATGGAGTTCGATGCCCAGGTCCCTCACACAGCACAATTAATTGTATAGCCAAAGATCAAAGTAACGGTTTGTGTCAGTGAAGATGGTGCTGAATGGGGGAAGTACAGACCAGTGACAGTGCTCTTTACAGGGACAGCCCTTCTGCCTGGCCACAGTCGTGTCAGGCAGCAGATCTAGCAGCAGACCCAAGTCACAGAGAGCCATACACTGCTGGCCTCTCAGTAACCTCAGGGGTAAGCAAACCAGAAATATAAGAGAACACTCGAGGGCCAGAGTTTTAATTAATCATCTGTTTTGAAAAGCCACACAGTAGAGACTTCAGCTCAATAATGAGAATTTGTTCTCATTTTAGGGTTGTTACTGAGATAGCACAGTCTTCCCCACAGGCTGTGCAGAAACACCAAGCACGTTGGGGGAGCTCAGCCTGGAGTCTGACATAGCGCAGAGCCTCAGGAGCCCTGGTGCCCCTGCCTGCTGCACCCCACTTCTCTGCTAATGAATTCTCCCCCAGGAAGAGAGCCAGGGCTGCTTACCGGATTTGGATCTTCCATGGGCGGCATTTGAAGCAATAGTGAGAGACTGGGGCTTTATGGGGTCTCCTGGGACAGGATAGTTTCCGGCACTAGGAACCTGCATGTAAGGCCCCACAGCAGCGACCCTGCCAGATGTGCTCAGGGGTGACTGTGGTGACGACGTGCCATTCACACGGTTCAGCTACAAATTGGGGAGAGGTAAAAGTTAAGATTGTTCTAAATTAAAGGATATCCCAAGCCCAGTGTGAGAGACAGCCAGCTCAGATACAAGCCACTCACTCAACAATGTGTGCTTAGAAAGCCCGTCATCCTGAAAGATCACCATCTAGAAAGTGGGAAACATCAGAAAAAGGACAAGACCACAGCCTGTATGAGTGATTGTTTGGTAACACCAACCCATTTGTGAGCCATAAAAGTGAGGAGCTGATGGGATAACAGAAAAAAATTCTGTTACCCAGGTACAGCCTCCCTCTTACTTGGGGGATGCTCTGCCTTCCCTGGGTGGGTACAGAGGTATTGGTCAAAGCCTGGGTTCTCGGCCTAGCTTTGAATCCTGCCACTTCAAATCTGCCATTATTTGCTGTATTGCCTTGGGCAAGTGACTTAACCTCTCTAAGCCTCTGTGTCCTCATCTATAAACTCAAGTTAAGTGCTATTACAAGGACAGTGTGAGCAATGTGGGGTATAGTGACCAGACAAGGCTCTGACTCCCAAGCAACCAGCCTAGGTTCCTGATAGCAGCTTTGCCTTTCTCTGCAAGTACAGGGAGCCACAGACTGAAGGACAGTGGTCACCTAATGCTGCCCAAGAACAAAAGGGTCTATTACAGGGATTCCAACTACAGAATCATTGGCTCCTCTAAGCATGGATCCATCACCCCTACAGTCGTTCACAAGTTCTTTTTTTTTGGCTGGGGCTGGGTTTGAACCCACCACCTCTGGCATATGGGGCCGGCACCCTACCCTTCTGAGCCACAGGCGCTGCCCCCACAAGTTCTATATGCATGAGCACATCTCATTCTACGGTGAGAGCTCAAGACTCATGACTGCTCAGAGGTACCTAGTACCTCCAAGTGGAGACACATCTCTGCAGACACATCCTCTGTAAGGATGTCCCTTGAATTAGTAGGTGGAATGGATATAGCCTTTTTTTTTTTGAGAAAGAGTCTCACTATGTCACCCTTGGTAGAGTGCTGTGGTGTCATAGCTCACAGCAACCTCAAACTCTAGGGCTTAAGCAATTCCCTTGCCTCAACCTCCCATGTAGCTGGGACTACAGGCACCCACCACAATGCCTGGCTATTTTTTGTTGTAGTAGTCTTTGTTGTCTAGCTGGACCTAGCCAGGTTTACACTCAACAGCCTTGGTGCATGTGGTTGGTGCTGTAACCACTGTGCCACAGGAGCCACACCTGGATGTGGTCATTTGTGATGGTTAACTTAATGTGTCAACATGGCTAGGCCACAGTACCTAGATATAGTATTTGGTTAAACACCAGATGAGACATTGCTGTGAAGGTATTTTGTACATGAGATTATCTTTTAAATTGAAGATTTTGAATAAAGCAGGTTCCCTTCCCTACAGTGGGTGGGCCTGTCCAATCAGTGGAAGGCATAAGAGAAAAAGATTGCACCCCTTGAACAAAAGAGAATTCTGCCTCCCTGGGGCTTTAGCTTGCAGGCCTGCAAACTTGCTGGCATCCACAATCACAGGAGCTAATTCCTCACATAAGTCTTTTTAATTTTCTCCATATATACACACATACATGCTGTTGGTTCCTGTTTTCTGGACTGCCCTGACTATTCCACCATTACTAAAGAACACAAGGTGCGTGTGGAAGGAGCCTGCAGCCTCTCTCTCTTATGGCCTCTGTTTCGTTAATCTTAAGAGAAAAAGGAAAGTCAACATCTAAAATCGTAATTATACAAATTAACCACTGACCATCAAACTTTCTGGCTAAAAAACGTGTAGATTTTGGCGGGCCCATAGCTCAGTGGGTAGGGCGCTGGCCACATACACCGAGCCTGGTGGATTCGAACCTAGCCTGACCCAGCTAAAAACAACAATGACAACTGCAACAAAAAAGTCGGGCATTGTGGCAGGCGCCTGTAGTCCTACCTTCTTGGGAGGCTAAGGCAAGTGTTTGAGGTTGCTGTGAGCTGTGACGCCACAGCACTCTACCCAGGGTGACAGCTTAAAACTCTGTCTCAAATTAAAAAAAGGAGGAGATTTTTAAATAAGTTGCTGATTTTAATATCTACAGAAGTGGCCGCTCCCTTTATCCTCTACCATCCTCTAAACATCCCACCTGGGCAAAACTCCTGAAGCCTAAGACTGCTTCCTGAGAGCATCTTTCAGAGCATCAGAGGCTGGCAAAAGGACACTCTTCTGTCCTGTGAAATCACTGAGGACATACAAAGGAACTTTGGGGAGCATGTCTTTGCTAGCTGGTTGCTTACTCCACTCTCCCACCCAATAGCAGACTGTAGTCAGCTTTGCACTTAGGCACTGTTTTCCTAATCCCTGAGCACCAAAAGTCAAGTGCCACATCCAGTTAAAGACATACAACGCAGCACCCCGTCCTCTGCATAGATGTTCGATGATACGAGTGTTCACCGATGTGTTCCAGTGACAATAAGACTTGGACACCCTCCCTGACTACAGGGTGTGGTAAAGGTGTTACAGGCCCTGGGACTACAGAACAGTATTCAGATAGTATAATAAGAATGAGGTAATGACTTGGAAAGATAATCGTGCTGCAGCTTAAAAAAAAAACCAAATAGGTGAGAAGGTAGAAGGTAAGACAGTGGGACTAATATAATTCCTATAATCCCATTTTCAATTAAAATTCTATAGCTTTATATATTTATCAAGTAAAAAGACTAGAACCATTAAGTGGGAACACATACCAGTAATCCCAGGACTCTGGGAGGTCAAAGTAGGTGGATTGCTAGAGCCTCAGGAGTTCTAGGCCAGCCTGAGCAAGAGCTACACCCATCTCTAAAAACAGAAAAACTAGCCAGGCATTGTGGCAGGTGCCTGTAAGTCCCAGCTACTGAGGAGGCTGAGGCAGGAGGCCCACTTGAGCCCAGGAGTTGGAGGCTCCAGTGAGCTATGATTGCACCACTGACTGTACCCTGGGCAACTGAGACCCCATTTAAAAAAAAAAAAAGAGCCAGGATGTGGCCCAGCAGTTCCGTGCTGCAACTCCAGAACTCAGTGAAGAAAACATAAAAACACACAGGGAGGGCAAAGGAAGAGGACAGAGCCAAGGCTATTGGCTGAAATAGGTGACTCCTAGCACTAGGAAACAAACGAGTCTTTGGGAAAGTGAACTTTCTTCTCTTGTCATTTTTGATAGATCATGGCCAATTTGTTTTATCAGCTATGGCAGATGGGGGGAGCATAATACCACTTAGTGACAATGAGTAACTTTTAGATGAGCCATTTTTACCTCACAGAACCAAATTATCTCACAGAAACTCTTAGTCACATGCCTGTATTTTTTTTCCATAAAGACGTTCACGAAGCTCACTGATTCGCTTGTCCATCATGGCCACTTCCATGTTCCGTTTATTTAGGAGTTCCTTCTGCTGCTGGAGTTTTGAATTTTGTTCTTGGTTAAGCTGGTTACGAATCTGTAAAACACAGAACACAACTTTTATGATTTATAGGAATTAAAAACACCTGTGGCTCAGTGAGTAGGGCGCTGGCCCCATATACTGAGGGTAGTGGTTCAAACCCAGTCCTGGCCAAACTACAACCAAAAAATAGCCAGGTGTTGTGGCAGGCACCTGTAGTCCCAGCTACTCGGGAGGCTGAGGCAAGAGAGTTGCTTAAGCCCAGGAGTTGGAGGTTGCTGTGAGCTGTGATGCTACAGCACTCTACCGAGGGCAACAAAGTGAGATTCTGTCTCTTAAAAAAAAAAAAAGTCAAATTCTCATTGCCAGGGAGATTTTTTTTTGAGACAGAGTCTCACTTTATCACCCTCAGTAGACTGCTGTTGCGTCACAGCTCACAGCAGCCTCCAACTCCTGGGCTTAGGTGATTCTCCTGCCTCAGCCTCCCGAGTAGCTGGGACTACAGGCACCCTCCATGACACCTGGCTATTTTTTGTTGCAATTTGGCTGCGGGGCTGAGTTCAAACCTGCCACCCTCCATATATGGGGCGAGCACCCT